CCATTTTCACAATAATTTTTAACTAAATAATTATTTTGAGTTCTTTTGGTTTCTTTTTATCAAAATTGTCAATGGCAGCTCCATATGCAATAATAAGAGATTTTTCAGAAATTGATGATATCAAGTTATAAAACCTGGCTCATACAAAATGGAAGAAATTTTCTTTCAATTTAAGGCCTGTCAAAACAGATTGAATTAACATTTTAATACTGCCAATTAGCTTTTGTAACATTTGATTGCAATCCTTTTAAGCCTTCAAATGATAAATTATTTTATTATATTTATCAACAAAATTAATCTCATACTAAACTTCTTACTCTTTCCACAATAATTCTTAAAAAGTAGTAATTTAGAGGAAAAAAGATACCCGTGTAACAATAGAAAAGGACTGGAGAGAAATAAAAGAACCACTGTTGTGCATTGCCTTTTATTTTCTAGAATTTAACTTCTTAAATAAAGATAATAAAGTAAACAATATTGAAACAAAAATATATAATTGTTGTCATATATATACATGTTGAATGATATTTTAACTAAAATAATCATAAAAAACTAACATAATATTCCAATTTCTACGGAAATATGCCCAAGAGCATCATGAACAAAAAAATGGAAAATTATGGAACCTGATGTTCATTAGGAGGCTGTGGCATTACTAATGGCACTTGAGGTTGTAAGACTCCAGATCCTGGTGGCCTCCTTACAGGAATTTGAAAGGATGGGGCAACTTTTCCTTTCTTAAAAGACTGTGGTACATGCAAAGCAGCAGTTTCTGCAGTTCTCTTAGAACTACTGCTCTGATTTAATACTTCACCAGGAGTAGGGGTTACAGCATCTATTATCTGCAAGATACAACAACATTAAAAATATAACACATAACATATGGCAGGAAATACAATTATTTGCAAACATCCATGATAAATAAAAATTTATTAAAAATCACTTAACACAAAAATTAGCAACTGGGTACTGACTCGATAATTCAAGTTAGAAGTAGAACTGATCAATAGTTTTCAAATTTTGTCATCTACATTTCTTTCAATATTAGTCCCATATTATGACTCATTATTTAAGTTTTATTTCAATGCCATACCTTTCATTCAACAAATCCCCCCTGTCAAGAACAAGTTTTAAAACCACTGTCATGAACCTCTGTTAAGTGATCTTATAGATAACTTTGATATTGGTTACTTGTTCATTATCATTAGCACTTGGGATGTAAATTAAATTTAGTTAATTACAAATTTAATGAGTGAATTAATTCATTAAAGGTAAGTTATTACTTGAATTCAATATCTCATTGTTTGAAAACATGGGGCCTATCACTGGATATTTTCCATGGCCAGTCTTCTTATACAACACTTTTTAACCATTTTATGATATTAAATAAATAAACTCTTAATGTTTGGCATCTATAGTTTTGATTTGTTTTCTCTTTTATTTTGTAGCGAGTTAAGTATTATTACCTTTAACAAATACTAACCTCCTACTAAATTATAGATTTTTCAATTATGAATTGAAATTTATAGCAAATGTTTATTAAAAATGTTAATATAGTAATACTATTTATAAAAGTAATAAGAATGTATAACATAATGTAGTAAAATTGCATAATGTAGTAAATTTTTTTTTTATGTAGTATTAAATAAATTGTATTGAGTTTTTGAAGGAATATTGCAATTTTTCTGCAGATTTTCAATTTCCTGTTGATGTAAAGTGTCTCCAACACTATTGAATTACAAAGAAATAGATAATGAAGATAAAACGATGAAACAAGTGAATAATGAGCATCATGAAGGAATAAATACAGAAAATGGGAGACAGGACACATGGGAGACCGTACCCCATATAAACCTGCCTTAAACTAGTTTCTCACGAAACCTGAAAAAAATTGACTGAATTTAAAGCACACTAATATGGGAAGCAAACATGTTGATCTCTATTACGACGATTGAAGAAAGAGTGTAAACTATGATACCTCCGCTAATTTTCTGGTTATTTTATAATCTGATAAATGAAAATTATGCATTTTCATTTCAGAAGAGAAAAAGTTTCTTTTATGTCCTGTGGCAAATGAGAACATCCAAGGATTTCCTCTAAGGATCACCAGGAATGAAACATTACTAATTTCCTTAGCGTATCTTGAAATACAGACTAAGAGGAAGAAGAGACCCCGGTCAAAGAAAATATGGGAAGATCAGGTATACTTAAGCAGTAACTAAGGGAATACTGGCAATAAAGGAATAGACCACCACCAAACCTTAAATGTTTATGATGATGACCAGGAATGTGAATGAAAACTTCTCAATAACAATGCAGCTTTACATTTATGACTACAGTGTTTTTTAATAAATGAACATGCAGCTATGTGAATTCAAATAAATGTTTTTTCATGAACAGATGGGGAAAAAACCATAAGAATAGCACACAATTACCTCTACTTCTTTGCTACCAATGAACAAACGACTACCCTCTTCCAAAGGGGCTGATTTGCGGTTAGCTTGACCTAAAACTTTACCTTCTGTGTCCTGAGAAAAAGAAAATTAAATCACAACAGAACACTAAACTGTTTATACTTTTCTAGAGATGTATTATCACATATATTTTTGACATGTGAAGTTTTGGCTACATTACCTTCAAAACCACACTCTTTTCATGAACTTCCAAAGTTCCATCTCCTTCCCACGTTTTATGTTTCTTTGTGGACTGCTTTCCCCAAACAACATTGAACAACCTGTCAGAATAATTACAATACCCATACATCACATGTAAATATGAACATACAAAATAAATATGTTCAAGGTTAATTATTGCAGACCATTAAAATCAAAGTATTGTAATTACTGAATATGATGTGCAAAAACTCCATCACAAACTGGTCCAGGAGATATTTTTTTACCATCAATCACTCTTTTATTTTCAGGTTTATTTTCCTTTGTACCTGGTGGGTCTATTACAACTGATTGACGTCTGCAATGTTCCAGACTTGATGTGGTATTAGTATTGTTTCTAGTGCCATTTTCTTCTTCTTCCCCTCCATCACTGTTCAATAAGCTAAGAATGCTTGCAGTACTGCGAGCTGCTTTTGGAAACGTGAAATCTGAAATAAAATTAATTTTCAGACAAGAAGCTGCACTATAACACCTCAATGTTTTTCAAAAGCACTTGAGAATACCTTTGTCTTTTGGCTTCTGAATATCAGATTTACTATTGGAGCCTCCTAATCCACTAAATTTGAAAGAAGGGGCCGCCGAACGCCGCATTGCTGTATTATTTCACGGATAAACCAGTATTTAGACAATGGCTTGGGATAGCATTCTTGACAGGTAGTGATTCCAAATATTAATACTAAATCACAAAAATTAAGTCTATTAGCGTTTAAGAGAGAGACTCCTGAGACTTTAAGATTTAAAAATAATCATTCAAAATTGTTTGCTCAAACACAATGAAAAAACATCCACTTCAATAGTCTGTAATAACGTCGTTACGATTTTCACCACTTTCACACTAAAGACCTCGCGCAGTCTCCACAATCAAGCGAATCTGCTCACACAAAGGGAATATATTATAATATTATTATAATACACACAGACCGCACCGCGCTATCGTCGAAATATTCTTCACTGTTTCCCGCGCTGATTATCCTTTTTTATCTCTGCAAGGTTTCCAACCTGACAACATTAGTTCTTCGTACTGCCAACGTGAAGTGTATGTGAAGAGGAACCATGTCAACATCTGAGGGTTTATTGCGCATTACTCTCGAGTTTAGGTAATTTATTTGAATATGTTGTTACCGTTGTATATTTTTAAGCGACAAAGTTTTCAGTGGTACTCATGTGTAACATATAAATGAAGTTATGAATAAGATATTTTTCCTAACCTCAATATCTTTTGGTAGTATGTACAGTGTATAATGTATTTTTCAGTTTATTTGTTACACCGTTGTAGTGTTATTCAACCTGAAGTAATTTGAATTTTAAATTATGTGAATTTCTCCTTTAAGATTCGTACAATCGTGGAAGAAAGAAAGTTAATGAAAATAGTGATTGCCATTTTTTTTTTTTTGTGATACAACAAGGAAGGAACTTGTGTGTAAATAATCATTTTAAAATTTTATTGAAATAAATTGTTCACTAATAATAAAATACATGATTAGAATTTCTTTGAATATTAGTTATGTACATTAAAATTTACTAGTGAACCAAAAATTATAACAATATATGTTACATTATTAAATTTTAAAAAATTATCATGTTAATGTTCATGATACTTCAGTACTGTGTGCATAAGTTGATCTTTTAGGAATCATATGCAATAAAATTCAATTTTTGGAATTATAGTTTTCTGATGTTTCATGTTCTTAGTATTAATTAGATGCAGCAAAAACTAACATAATTTAAGAATTTCCCACTGCATTTCAGATTATAGAGGTGTAGAACTTATGTTTCCTGCTTTTATGTACTGAGCATTTAGAAATATCCAGTAATATTGGAAATCATTTCAAGTATTTGCTGTGATCAATTGTGGACACTAACACCTTAATTTCTTTTATTATGCACCTTTTTGACAGGTGCAATGACGATGCACAAATGTATTTTATAGGAGAATAGACTTCAATTATTTAAGCCAATTTCATTATTTTATAAATACTTAATTTCAAGAATACTTTTTTCCATAGTTTCTGTGTTGCCTATGTGTTTATACATTTTTTTTGTGTAGATTAATCTGAATGCAAATGATATTTTAAGAACATTGTTTTAATAGAAGCCAGTGTATTCTTGTTTGAAAAACTAGAAAAAAAGAAAAAAAAATTAATTACATTTGATAAACCATTCATGAAGTCGGTTGTGTTCTTAGCTGAGGAAAACACTGCAAAAAATAAGGTTACATCTAGGAATATTTATTATATTTTGGGCATTACATAAAAACACATAAAAACCTAATTAAACTATGATATTAATATTATGCATAAGAGTAATATTGATATTCAATGTTTTACAATGGATTGTTTCAGAGGTGGTGCTGAGCTTCTCTTTGATAATGTGAAGAAACACAATGTAAAACTTCCCTTGATTGATAAGACATGTAAGTTTCTAAAAAAAACCATGTGAATGTAATTGATCTGTGCCTGAATTCTGTAGAGAACTTTATTGAACTGAAATATTTTTAGGGACCCTACGCAATCTTCTGTTATGGATAAAAGAAAACTTGCTCAAAGAACGACCTGAGCTGTTTGTCCAAGGAGATTCAGTGTAAGATTTCAAACATTTAAACGCCTTATATAGATTGTGAAATTGTTGAATCATTAATTTCATGTTAAATGTTGTAGGAGACCAGGAATTCTTGTTCTTGTTAACGAAGCTGATTGGGAACTCCTGGTGAGTTATTGCATGTGTTTTTATTGGTTTGTTAATCTTTGGGTTCCATTGTTTCAGAGCTCTCTTAAAGTAGATTTTAAATTTTAGTCCAATTCTAACCCAGAACTGATGGGCCTATGATGTATATTTCAAACCAGAAAAAGCGGCTTAGGTGACTCAGGACATTAACGGACGTCACTGCAATGCATTTTACTGGAAGGTCTTACGATTCGAGACCAGATGGTGGCAGTATTTTCAATATTAGCTTCATAACCGAGTCGAATTCAGCTGCTATCTGGCGGAGAGTCCTAGCGCCTGGCTGCTTTGATCGGTAGTTTTCTGTCGTTTCTCCGTTCAACACCAGGCGAATGCTGGAGCAGTACCCGAACAAAGGGGCCACGGACTGCATGCATTCTTTTTATTATCTTACTTTATTTTCATTTCAGTTCAAGATTTTTTTTTGGGGGGGGGGGTGGGGGGCGGGGTATTAATATATTTCAATGTGTTTGAAGTTCAGAAAAGCATAAAATTGAATCAAAGCTGTCAGGTGCCATCACTAAAATCATTCATTAAAATCTATGAGATGTTTTGGAGCACTATAGAAATTTTCTAGCTTTTTTTCTCTGTACCTCTTCAATGAGGAAAAGTAGTAAAGACTGACCCCCCCCCCTAGCCTATTTTATTGTTTAAATGTCAATGTGTGTTATGGAGAAATTTATATTTTTGATATGTTTTTTGGATAATATGCTGGACCCCCTTTCAAGACATTCATGAACTTTCAAGTGAGATAATTCTCCAATGTAAGAGAGCACTACTCTATTTTCGTAAATAATTTCTCACCTGTCTGATTTACTTCATTCAGTGAAAAATAGAGTTGCATTTCAAACTCTGCATGTTTTAATTATGTTCTCAAAGTAGTTTTTATCTTCTGAATTGCACCTTAATCTTGGCTTGAATTAGAATAGTACTGTAGTATAGTTTGTGATCCAAGTACAAGGAGATAATTGCTAACTGCAGGGGTGTTGCGGAGGGTATATTGGAATAGGCACTTAATTCTAATCACGGATATAACAATTTGTAATCTGGTAGATTAGTAGGGCCATAATAGGGGGCTGCTCCTTGATCCAGTGCACATTACAGTGATGTGGTCAATGTTTCATCTATTGTTATGGCCCTGGCCAAGGATCAGGATCCAGTTATTATTAATATGCTACCTGCCCAAACATAATTGTGACATAATATTTTTATGGAGAAAAGTAATTGAATGTTTTAATGAGGATGCTGAAAAGAATAATTTTTTTTTCAAAACAAGTTTGTGTTTTTGTATAGTTTCTTTGTGGTATTTGCTTTACTGCTCTTACTCTATTTGTGGGCTTCCTGTTCTCTTTCTATCGTCATCGAATTAGGGCGTATTATTGTACTTAATTATATGTCCAGATACTTTACATCATAAACGTACCTGGCATGTATAAATTCGTACTTTCTACAGGAGGGAGCTCAAATGGCAAATTTTCCGAGTTCGTATACTACGCGAGATCGCAGAATTCGCCATTGACAGTCGCGGGTTGGAGTACAATGTACCTCTCTTCATAGCGAGTTACTTGGCCTATTCTATAATATTCTGCTTTTGCTGTTTTCAAGCAAGGACTCTTTTTGGCATATCTAAACTTCGGACTCATGACACTTTATCAAACGATCTCATATGTGTACTCATTTGAATAGTTCACTTGTTCTTTTCTAAATCTAGATTTTAGGTGTGTACCAACGTGACAATTTTCTTAAAAAAAGAATTGGCAACTATCTGATAGTAAAAATTTCAGTTTGCTCATAATGTTTTTGGCAGCAACTTCAAAGTATTGTGACATTCCCACACTCGCCCTATCTATTCCCTATTATTATATCTGCTAATTAATTATAAGTTTGGCTAGCTCAATTATTGAAAAACTGGGCGTTCAGATACAATCTCAGGGCGACTACTACTCGACGTTCTCGCCGTGGGCTGTCAATTAACCGCTCTACGAGGCTACGGCTGGCGATGATTTTTATTGGTGATGGGAACTGAATAATCCAATTTTTTTATCTTAACTAATTTTTAAAGAACAACTCATTATTAATTAATTTCTATTACAGCTCCAGACTTTCCTCTTATTACGGAAACATTTAAACTGTCCGCGCTTTTCTTTACTTAATTACTTCTCAACATAAATCCAAACATCTCGCTACGTACTATTCGCATCTATTTAAAACACTTCTGACTTTCAAGATAAACTTTGAAAAGGTTTTGCTGCGCGCGGCACAGCATCGAACTCACATCGATGCATGTCACATTGTCCCTTAACATTCGGACTGTCAACTCGTTTAGCTCTTTTCTTTTTTTTAATTGTTTGCTTTTTAATTCGATGCTATTTGCTTCACAGTTGCACATCTAAGTTCTTTTGTCTACCTAACAATGTATTACGTAAAAATATTTTATTGAATATTTTATAATATTTAAAATATATTACCCAAATGAATTTTATTCGCATTTTCAGTAATCTCAAGTCCCTAATGTCTCACTTGTGTCTATATATTTTTGTATTTATCTATCCTTCTAAAGATACTACGTCGACATATTTTAATCACCTTTTCAAACTATTCCGAGAGGTATTTTGACGCTTCTCAGTGTTGACAGATGATTTGATGAGTAAGAGATTGAGATGTTAGTGACATCGCTTAAAGAATGGCACAAGATTCACACGAGTGCACACGAGTGACGAGTCTTTTGCGGATGACTCGTCAATTGAAATCCACCTCCGGGCCTTATGAAGACGCCATGACAGTTCGGTACCATTTATTTCAGAACGTCTAGCTTCCTCTACTTTCGAGTTAGCGCGACCCTGAGAGAGAGAAAAAACTAGGTAAATTGACGTGCCTAGCGCGCAGCTAGACTTCTCCGGCTCTCCCTGCCCGTCCCGTAGACGGTGGCCCAGAGCTTGGTCTCCAGTGGCCAGATTCTATCCGAGTGCCGGGCGCATGCCGCTCTTCTTGCGACCGAGCATCTCGCGCGGGGCCCAGAGAGGAGATGCGATCTCCCAGCAGCGGCGAGACGGACGGTGGCGCCGAAACGAACCCGCC